GTAAAGTCTTTTATGGATCAGGAGAAGAAGATAGAAGAGTTTCTATAGAAAGTGTCTTGGGGAAATGTTAATGTGGTCACTATTGGAAACTTCAGGTAGCTTCAACCACATTTAAAGGCAAAGGTGTGTGTACCTGCCTAAAAAGCCACAGTTTGAAAGCAGGGGAATAAGCCTGCCCACAGTTTTGGACAGTCTCACCCTAAAGGCATTCATGATGATCAGTTAGAGAAAAAAGTGAGCTTGGTTTTGATCTGATACCTAGAAACACCAAGGTCAGAATCACCAATATTGATACAGATGCTAATGAAAGCTGTAGACAGGAGCCATGTGGCATGATTCATGAGGGGAATTAATCATTAATAGGCTACTTCTAAATACACTTTCTTTATCACAGAGTGATTTCGCTTTCTTGCTGAGAGTTGGATGAGAAGATTGATACCACTTTCTTGTCTGTACTGTACATATTTAACCTATTACCAGCAGACTGTTAGCTTAGCAACAAGACTGAAGTGGGAAGTGGACAGCCTGACTCTGTCCAGAGGTATAAAACCTGCATACCAGCGCCTCTGAAGTGTGTAAATGGTACCAGCTAAGACATTAATGAGGATACTGAGGTCCTTATATTGACTTGACTAGCCATATTCAGTATTATTTTGGTATCTGCAGAAAAACAAAAATCTTCACAATTTAGACAAGAATGATCAACTCCTGTTATGACTCAGTGATGTTTTCGTAAAGCTCAACATTTTCCACCAGCTCTTTCCCGCTCGATCTGCCCTGTAAAAATAATCCAGTGACAGTGAAGACGTACCGTTTGTCATCTAACAAAAACATTTCCCCATCTGAGGAACAATGGGACGAGCCGAAAACAAAGAGCTCCGAGGAGTGACGAGCACCTCGAAGGGCCGGTCGGGTCTCCGCTGCATGTTTGGGTTCGGGATCTTTTCCACCAACGAAGCACTGAGGCCTGAGACGTGTTGATGTCCTGAGGTGGCACTTGTTTCCTGCCAGCGACGGTGAACGAGGTGCAGCCGACAGGAACTCTGCCTTTGTTTTTCTAGTCGGAAAGACACCAGGAGAGGCTGTGAATGTCTCGCAATGTTTGCAGGGACGGTGCAGATTCTTTCCCAGGGCGGAGGGACGGTACTGTCAAGAGCCTCACTGCCAGAATACACACAAGTCAAGCATAGATCTTTGCAGCATTTCAACACCCCTACAGTGATATATTTTGGACTGGAGGGAAGCTAAACAGTTCAAAAGCCTGTAGCTGCTCTGTCTTTAACCGGCAGTGTGGGAACTCACATTATAATTGTTTGTTCAATTATTTTTCTTGGACGCCGCACCTGCACTTCACCAAGTGAACTCCTGAGACCGGATTGCAATTAAGCCCCGCAGAGCAGCACTGACGCCTGTTTAAACAGTGGGGAGGGAGTCGCATAAATACCTTTTTAGTGCTCAAGGTAACAAGCAAAGGGTGACAGTGAGAAGGCTCGCAGGGAGCAATTTCCTATTTATTTGTCTCTGATTTGACCTCTCTCTTGACAAGGTTCCAGGGCTTATTACCGTATCTGTCCTGCGCTCTAATCGAGGCCCATTACAAATGTTCAGCAGGCTGGAAGTGCCAGATGTGGGCGAAGGATAAAGGAGGCAGCTAGGCATCCTGACCGGTGTTGACGCCCTCTGAAATGTTTTGTGAGGTTGGAATTTTCACGGATAAGTAGCTCACATGTTTACAGAAATTGTAAATTGTGTTTTCTGACCCCCGCTGGCCATTTTAATGAGAATCTTTGCAAAGTGCAGTGCAGAGGTGTGAAGTTGTTTCATAGAAAAGAGAGTTTATGCTTTCTGCTTCTGTGAGCAAGTCCTGCAAAGCATTAGAAAATGTTGTATTTCATGCTAACTGTTATTGTGTGTGGCTTTTATCAGCTATAGTATACAGCTATACATTTACACATGTTTTCTGATCTGAGACAACAATATAGACCCATAAATCCCACCAGTGAGTGGGGTACGTCACTCTTAAAGTTACCCTGTGAAATCTGTAAACAGTGTACATCTGAAAATGTGCATTGTTTACATTGGTGTCGCTGTTTGATGCATTTTTCTGGCACATTAGTACCACCAGCTACTGTAGGTCAAAACTCCACTGGGTGCCTTTTAATCTGATGCTCTGACTCAGATGAAAAGCATATTCATTATTACCCATTTTTGACATTTTTTGGCCATGATACATCACATTAAAGTATTGAACCTGCAAAATGATCACTTCCTGGTTGTTTGTATTAAATATTAAATGATTAGTTGATTGCACATTGCCAGTGAGAGGATTTGCTGCTTTTGCTGCTAGCTTGGGGTTTTTAGATTGTTGGCCATACTAAATAAGCAATTGGAAGTTTTCACATTGGGCTCTTTTCCATTATTCTTTCACTCTTTATAGACTAAACTGATCATTTGGCTAGTTAAAAAATGAAAGACTATTCGAAGATCAAACTTGGCATTAGTTGCTATGCAAGACGTTTCGGTATATTCTGTTGAGTTAAAGTCTTTGACCTCCTGCATTAAAAACTCTCACTTTCCTCTTATTTTGGCGATCAGTCACATCACGGGGGGCGTTTAAACTCTTCCAGTTAAACTCTCTGTCACACTGATGTCTGTTGGTGTCTTTGGGAATGACCATTTACATTCACAGCATATTTACTGTTGGCAGTCAGCTCATTCTGCACATAGATGCCAGTCAGTGTTTTACTGCTCGCCCTGCTTTACACTGACTCTGTCTTCAGTCACACAGCTATCACCCCAGCCATGCATACCTCCCTCTATGTCTTCCATGCTCACAGCCCTCCATGCATTATTCACAGCCAAATTAAAATACCGGGCCGAGAGTGAGAGTTGCATGTTAAGGCAGCTGAATCGGGGAGGTGCCGTCACAACAGCTGAAAGTGTCTGTCACAGAGTTATAACTTTTTTTTTTTCCCATAGTTCCCCGGCAGTGCAGCTGCCTAAATGAGAGGGATTAAGTTAACTCCCTGCTTAGAGGAAGAGCAGGCCCTGGATTAGGGCACTGGGCATGGACACAGAGAGCATTCAAGCAAGAGCCACAGCTTTTTAAAAAAGAGACGTGGGGGAGAGAGGAGGCAGCGGTGCACAGCCCTCGCAGGGACCGACGGCCGAGTTGCTTGAACAAATACATTGACAAGTGCAACGCCGCACCCGCAACACGGAAAAGTGTGTCAGGGCAAAGAGGGGGAACACTGGCGGACACGCCGACAATCACAAATGTTTTTTTTTCTCTTCCTGCCTCCCCCTTCACTCCGCTCCCACCCCTCCATCTTCTGTCATGACCTGAAACTCTCTCTCCAAGAAGTATCTCCTCTGGTCCAGAGCAGGGAAAGAATAACTAGTAACTAAATTAGAAGCATGTTGGAGTGTCGGCACTGTGCTGCACTGCATTTGAGTAGTTCAAAGACACACACTGTGCTATGCTTTACTATTTCATGCATTACGTCATGATCATGAGGACCTTAAGGCAGCTCCTGCACTTTTATCTAATCTTTAGGATCTCAATTTTGGTCAGCTATATTAATAGTCTTTTATTTGTTGTTTTCTTTGCAAAATAATGGTGATCAGGGAGGTAGCAGTCTGCTTTACCTAAAGAGTTCTTATTAGCAGAAGAGAGTGAACCGGCTTGATGTAAACCTGGATGTCCCAAAGTCATTGTATGCATCACAGCATCCCATTTAGTTTTCCAATTTCCCAAAAGCTGTTTTAGTCAGAGCTTTTATTGCTTTTTTGTGCTTGTGTACATATACTGAGAAACGATGATGCAAGAAACAAGTAAATGATCTTTTAAAAGGTGGAAAAAGCAAAAATGGAACAGGTTATTTGTTAATGTTGTACACACGCAAATGAATGTAAAAAATGATCTCTCCCTGCATCTCCGTCACTCCTTGAACATGCCGTTTGATAATATTTCCACACTTCTTCTAATACAGTTTCACCTGATACAGTAAAATTCAAAGCTCAATGTATGTGCATCCTGTTGTCTGAGGTCTGTGCAGCCCTTCACAGAGAGGGGGGAAAAAACCTGGGAAGGAGTGGAGATGAGAACAGGTGGTGTAACAGTGTGAGAAACACGAGGGAGAAAAACAACAGACACCTGCTCGTGAAACCCAACCTGGTTCCTCCATCACATTCCAGCAGAGTTCAGCTGACTGAGCTGCTCAGACAGCGGCTGGGAAGGATACACTCAATCTCCTACACTGAATTATGCTGCTGACAGTGTGACCATATGAGGGAAATATCAACTGTGAAGACTGATGTAACCCTTTTTTTATAATAGTGACTAAATACCTTTTTTTGAAGTGGCATTCAGGCGATCATTGCACACAAAAAACGCCACCTACTGTAAGGCAGAAGACAACACTTATCAGTCAACAACAGTCTTTAAGGTCCCTTTACTCCAGTGACCTTTTATAAAGAAGCATTCTGGATTATGTCTTGTCACTTACTGTAGAGGTGTGTCAAGGGCAACCATAGATTTACTTAGAATTAGATTTAGTGCTGTCCATAAGTGTTAGTATGAGATGGGACTGATTTGCAAAAAATTTTGTTTTGAGACTGAAAATAGAAATTCAATCTTATATGAATTTTCTATTTTTATAAGATTGTGGTATGTCTCATTTCCTTTGTAATTCATATTTACTCTTGTTAAATGGTTCTGTAGGTGGTATATTTGAATGAATCTGACCTGGGACAAATGTAAGGTAGCAGAGTTAAATGAGCTCTTCCAAATGTAAAATGCCACTTTCAACTAAGTAGGCAGGGCCGTCCAGAGAAATGGCCAGGCTCCTGCAGATGAATGAATAAGACAAGTGGATGATTTTGGCTGTACAGTATTTACAGACTCAAAGAGATCAACCTGGATATTTAAAGTAAATAATTAACCACCCCTGATATCCTCCGCCTTCTTTTCCTGTCTTGTTCTCGCTGCAGGGAGTTGAACCAGGCCTCAGTCACGTCAGCTCCGTGACATCGAAGCGACCGCGACACCGCAGCAAACCGGCGATGACGGATGCCTTTTTGTCTTCTGCAGTCAGGCCACGTCGTCTAGCCTGCGGACGGCTGTAATCGCACCGACAGGTGACACATCTGTGGAAACCAGAAGATGATGGGGAAGACTACTTGGATCATGTGACCTGCACCTCACATGCCTCCTCCAAGTACAGTAAGTGTCTGAAGAGTTTCACTGTGACATTTAGGAAACAAAAGATTGTTAACTGCCGTAATTTACACAAAAATGCTGCACATTGAAGACGTGTTGAGATTATAATGAAGCCAATTATTAAAAAAAATCTTTAAACTGTTAAAAAATGTCAACGCATAATGGTGAAATTAATCATGATACTTGAGCAGAATCACACCGAATAACAAGTGGCTGAGTTTGAAGTGAGATATTTAAAAAAGCCACCTCTTCGTGCTAAAAGTAGTGTTTATATTATTATTTTATATTCTATATTTAAGACCACAGTACCCATCAGCCCTGTTGCTATCTGTCCCCTCGCCCCCGACAAACATTTGTCCCTGTCATCCTTTCTCATCCTACATAAAGAAATCTGGCAGATTTAGTTATAATCTAAACCATTGCAATGTAAAATGAAGGAGTAAGGCCATTAGAGGCTCTGTTTATTTTGTATCATAGTTCATGTGATAATGATTCATCCATTCATTCTCTAAACTGCTCAGTGAGGGTAAATAAGACCTAATCAGACATTAATGATCATTTAATCTCATGTTTCTTCAAAACAAGCTGACATATTTTACAGTGATACAGTACATGTGGACTTAACAACCTAACCAACAGCTTGAATACATCGAGTACACAGCAAAGTACACAGCGCAAACTGTGGGTGGCACAAAAAAGGGTGAAAAGTTAACTTTTAATTTCTCTTTAAAAGAACAGTACAAAGTTTGTTTAAAAATAAGCAGTGTAGTTTTGTATGCCCCACTTCAATAGTATAACATAAGAAATGTGTTAAGCACAAAGAGCCGTCAGTGTTGTAAAATGCAGAACTGTCACTTTATTATTAAAGCTGTCATCCAGTCTTATTTACATCAAATCTGCTTGGTCTTCATATGAAGCAGATTTGCTTTTGTTCAGTTCATGGCATTTTCTATGCTTGAGATTCTGTCAGATTAGAGTTTTTGAACTGTATAGATTGAAAATATTATTTAATAATTTAGTTATTATATATTCAAAATCCAACAGTATTGTTTTAAATGCAACTAATAATGGAATATAGAAAATTTAAAATGAATTCAGTACTGTTTTCCACAGGTATTAGACAACATATTATACCATATATAGAGTATGTTGATCATATTATTACAATAATCTACATATTCTGTGTAATGATTTTCTGGTGGATCCAGTACATACAAACAATATGTATTTTCTTTTTTATCCTGTGTTATAAATTAAACTATTTGCATCAGGACACACTCGAGCTCAATCTGATCTCTGAGGAGAATCTCCCTTGTAGTGATCAATGAAGTATCACATTTTACCGTGTACCTTCATTCAGTCCGACCTAATTATGACCAGTCGAATTATTCTTTGAACCTTGACGGCAGGGTGCTGCTGTAAAGTGCGCTGTTTGAATCAGATATTTGTATTTTGCTTGACTAACTTCAGAGAAACTTTGTAGAGCTCTTCGTCATCTGTGGCCCAATTAGCAAACAAATTTCACAGTGAAAGTGAAAATATATAAATTCTTGTAGGTAGATCATTAGTTGGAAATAAATGAAAACCCCCTCGGTGCTGCGTCCTCACAACCCGACTGTTTCAAAGAGTGCCGGCTTGTTTTGTTCTGTCAAATCCCCTCGTTGTTTGTTAGTCCGGGCGTCCTCGATGGGCGTCTCAGAACCGAATCTTAAATCTTTGCCCCAGCTTCTTGTCTCAACACATCTAAGCAGGCGAAGCTTGTGATAGCCCTTCCCTCTTTTAAACAGAGAAAAAGCCCCACAGGCCGCAGAACGAGATGCAGCTCGCTTTGAGCCCAGGGGAGGCGGGATCCGGTCCTATTTGTCAGAGCTTTCCATCGTCACTTTTCATCGACAGGCAGGCAGGGAGGCGGCAGGGCGCTCTAATGTACTTGCGCCGTCTTCCTCCCCGCATGAGTGTTTTCTGTTTGGCTGCTGTTACTGAGAAAAGACACATAAGTACTTGCTCTGTATCTTTTCACACACACTTTCTCTCTGAAACACACACTCTGCGGATGGAGCGATGTGCTCTCCAGGGTTGAGAATGTTCCCCTCTCTGTCTTTATCTGCTGGTAAATGTTGACAGACCACTGAACCTTGATGTCGGACTGTGACAGGCTTAGCTGTTTGTAAAGTGTTGGGGTGAGAAAAAAGAGAAACAAAGGGGCCTCTGGTGTGGTGGTTAGCCATCATGGCTGCTCAGCTCGCAGTGAAAGGACCTCTAACACCATCCTTGCTCCGCCACGGAGGCGAGCACTCGGCTTCGCCCGGGTCGGCCGGCTCGCAGACCATTAGGGAAATGGTTGAAGGGTTCTCGTGTTTCAAACCCGGCTGCACCGTTCAAATTAATGAGGGGATTGTCAGCATATCAGAGTTGATGGGTGTGACGAGCGAGGCCCCAGTACTGATCCTAAAAACGCTCGGGACAAAATTTACTTCAGTGAAAAGCTGAAGAGACTGTTGTCTTTGGCCTAGTTTGTGCTGCAGTTGTAAACTTAAGCTTTCAGTTTTGGATACAGAAAGAAGAATGCATCTTAAAATATTGTACCATCTGACCTACAGACGCAGGGATCCAACAAAGGATCAAAAATGTATTTTCTAGTACGATTTTGAACAGCTCAGAAATGTTGACATTAACCTAGCAGAAAGGCCTTTCTAGTGTTAATACTTATAGGGAAAAGAAAAAGCAATCAAACAGTAGAATATCACGATAAAACCTGCCATACAGGCATCCACCAGACCTGAGATTGGCTATTTAGGGCAGAAATTCATACTGTATTTTAAAATCTGCCAATACCTAGAACCTCTTAATGTGTGCAGGTTAGGCTATATTACATACAAAAATGTCAAGTACTCAGCATTTAAAACTTTTCTTCTTGTTGATGTTAAAAACTGGGGAAAAAACATTCTTCTCTTTCTCTTTGTCTTCTGTGGCCCAATTACCAACCACATATTCCAATTTACAGTGACGGCAATGTATATATGTATAAATATATCAGTTTATTTTCACCTGATCCGGTAGTATGAACACAGCTATCTCCTCGACAATCAAACAAGCTGACAAGGGAAGTCCCTGGGAGCCATGAATAGGCAGCTTGAGAAGCTTTGGTCTGAGAGAGTAAACCAGGCCTCTTCCAGATGAGCAACATCATCCTGAACTGTGAGAGGCAGCAGGATAAAGCTCACACAGACTAATCAAATCAAATTCAACATGAAACAAGTGTGTTGGAGACTGAGGATCTCATTATTTCCCTTTTTAAAGCAGCTGCAGTTCAGCTGCTGGAAGTGTCACGGGCGCTCACCTCTCCTTGTTTGATATGCTTCCCCTGCATCTTTTTTCCCCCCCTTACGACTTCCTTTGGGAGTCGCGTTTGTTGAGCGGTGTTTCCCCTGACGGGCTGGAGCGGGTCACGTCTGAGCGACCCTCTGATGTGTCAGTCCATAAAGGCACAAAGAGACAAAGGTGAGGACAGACAATAAGGTGCGGCGCTGGTGGGGTCTCGACCCACCGGGGCGCCGTGCTTTGACGGTGACAGCGCTTTCCGCCGAGGATGTCCCCCTGACACATCGGGAGAAACAATAGAGGCTGCGCCGGGAGGATGTAACTAAGCAAATTAAATCGGAGTCATTGGGTTTTCTTTGAATGAAGATGAAAATGTGTCACACACCTCTGTAAGGGACTAAAAGGAGAAAATTGGAATTAAGCTGCTGATGTGAAACTGGAGGACAATTTAAATATGTCCTTGGTGTCCATTCATGTCGAGGTGCCTTATAGCCAGACCCTGCGTGCTTGAGCTTTTAGTGAAACGTCAAGATGCAGAAATTCCTGCTGAGAAAGTGTTCAGAAGAAACAAATCTTCTAAACTACCTGTTTAACTCAAACTAAACAGCATTTACAGATGTGTGGACATCTGGCGGAGCATTGTAGAAGATATCCTAGTGATTGAGAATCTCATGTATAGGCTAAAACAGATGGATGAGGGTTTGGCAGAAGACTGGGGGAGATGGTTAATATATAAGTCAACACAGACTTTGCAAACGGTGCAGGACTAGCATGTGACTTATACTTACTTTACCAAATTCCTTTCTCCTTCCTTTTAACCTGCTTACTTTTTGTTATATTACTGTTAACTTGTTTATTTTGGCATTGCATGTATAGTTCGGATCTGCGTCTCACAGTTAACCTATTTACATTTGTAATGTGCACGTCATGTATTTTTTATATTCTTGTTCGTATTTGCACTAAAGATATTTGCCCTCCTTCCTGCTTTGTATTGCAACTGCTGCACAGCCATTTCCCTCTGGATATATTAAGATCCATCTTATCTTATCCTTCCTCTGTCAGAATCTACTACATGTTGTTTCAGTAGAAAGCAGTTATTTTTTTGGCAATAATTAGGAGCACTGCAGTTTGCAGGACAAAGGCATGTTCCCTGTGTGCATTGTACGTTTTCAAGCTATTAAGTATTTGGACATGTATGCCAAACTAGTAACTGTATGGAGACTATTTTTATGTCAGACAAAAGCTGAGTTAACCCTACTTAAGGTAGTATATGTGTTGTTTTACTGATCCACACGTACTGAGTGGCCTTTGTTTTCAGAAGCTGTGTAGATAGAAAGGCAGTTCAAAGTTATAAATTGGAGCAGAGGCATGTTACAGAAAGTGGTAGAATTGCCATTGTTCATTCATATCTTACTATTAGCGATTCTGGCACGCTCTCTTTATCGATGCAGTAACTCAGCCAAGCAACTGATCCTTTATGTGAATCAATTATCTTTTCTTTTGAAATTCTGTTGTTCCTGAGTTTTTAATGTGTACATGTACACATTTCCTGTTTACATTAAGACTTGCCCTGGCATTGGCACAGCCTTTTAATTTTTTGTCTTCTGATTACAGTCGTACACAGAATAATGTCATTACACCTATTTGCATCCACTTATCAACCACTCCATTGAACAGCGTGT